GAGTGTAGTCGGGAGCAGTAGTCTCAGTACAGGTAAGGCCAGTCTCCTCCAAGCTCACTGTATTTCCCACCTTGATGAAAGTAGCAGGATAAGGAGATGGGGTAGCAACTCCTGAATGGTCCAGGCCACAGTGTACACTGAATTAGCTGCTCTTCAATCTGTGTAACTTGGGCAAGTTTCTAACCTTTCTGTGCTCACTCATTATACAAGGATGAGAAGTGTCAATGCTATTAGAAGTGAGGTTACCTGTCTGAGCTTTGGACCGGGGCCTACCACCCAGTCAGTGTTAATCAGTGTCAGCCGTGATCATCCCTGCTCTTTTCCTGCTGCAGATGGATGATGAGGACACATTGTTACCTAGGAAGTTACAAGCTGCTCTGGAGCAGGCTCTGGAGAGGAAGAACGAGCTGATCTCTCAGGATTCTGACAGTGACTCTGATGATGGTGAGGATAGTATCTTTCTCCTCTGAGTCTGGACTTCATAGACCTTGAAATATGTACCATGCACTGGCCCCTTTCGGGCTGATGAGGCTTAGGTATAAGAACTGGGACCCTCTAGTTAGGCCTAGTGCCTTTTCTACCCCAAAACGTGGCACCACAGACGTCTTGCTGACTGGAAATGAATCAGGCCCCCCTCTTAGGCCTTGTTTCAAGCCACCGCCAGAGATGGAGGGACCCTCTTCACTTGTGAAGGATGTGGAAAAGGAGATGCTTTGGTCTCCAATTTCTAGGAAATACTTGCCTACTTCTATGCTTAAATCAGTTTCTGATCTCCAGGAACTCATAGGCTAGGTGACAGCTCTTGAGCACAACAGATGGTCTCAAGAACAGTATGTGTGCTAGTTCGAAGTTTGCTGGGAAGAGACTAAAGCAATGTGAGATTGGAGATGGCCTTACAGAATCTTGAGCTGAATGTTAGTGATTTTTCTTTTCCCTTCTAGAATGTAATACCCTCAATGGACTTGTGTCAGAGGTGTTTATCCGGTTCTTTGTGGAGACTGTGGGGCATTACTCCCTCTTCCTGACACACAGTGAGAAGGGGGAAAGGGCTTTTCAGCGAGAGGCCTTCCGCAAGTCTGTGGCCTCCAAAAGCATCCGCCGCTTTCTTGAGGTTTTTATGGAGTCTCAGATGTTTGCTGGCTTCATCCAAGACAGGGAGCTAAGAAAGTGTCGAGCAAAGGGTAAGGTCCCAGGAATGGGGATGGGAGCCGGGGGGCTTCTATAGACAGTATAAGTGGGTCACTGTAACGAACCACCAACTATTACACTAGATGTCTGCCTTTCCCCTTTTGCATCTGTGCTGTGTAGTCCACTGTATATCCATGTCGCCATTGTTCTCTCCCTCATACCTGCTGTCCATCTTTCTCAGGCCTCTTTGAGCAGCGAGTGGAGCAGTATCTAGAAGAGCTCCCTGACACTGAGCAGAGCGGGATGAACAAGTTTCTTCGTGGCTTGGGTAAGTTACTGGTTACTGATGAGGATAGCCAGGAGGGTGCTGTTCCCTAAAATACTGTGAATCTAGGCCAGCAAACATGATAGAGGCTGTAGATAGAGCAAGAGGAAATCCTGTGAGGAAGAAATGTCCAGCTACTGCTTTAAGAGCATTTAGCACAAGATTCACAAAAGGGAGCCACAGATTTGACCATGAGTTGTTTGGTCTTCATGTTCACATGAGTTGAATGCTAGTCATCTTTGTTCTAGGCTGCAATATACAGAAGTTTTTAATGCCAGAGTGCCAGTTCTGCAAAGCACCACTCCTTCAGGGAGCTTAGCTAGTATTTCAGGATCATAGCAGGGTTTTTTTGTTGTTTTCTTTTGCTTTTTTAAAAGGAAACAAGATGTTCTTGCTCTCTCTTGATCCCTTTCCCCTCCCCCCTATCCATGTTCTCATGGCTGGTCTCTACTTCTCTTCCTCCTCCTCCTCCTTCTCTATGCCTCTACCACCTTCTTATCTCCCCTTCCTATGCCCTGAATAAACTCTATTCTATACTTAAAGGAAACAAGACACAGATGCAGAGTGTTACCCAAAGTCACACAGTGGCTGATCTGTGTCCTAAGTTGTTTTCTTTACCTGACCAGAGCTGTCACTCCTGTCTGTCATACTGATCCTTTTTGCAAGGAAAAGAAGGGAGGCAAGGAGAGAGCATGGATGTTGGAAGGGTTCGTGAACACCCTCACCTCTGCCCTCTGCCCCACAGGCAACAAGATGAAGTTCCTCCACAAGAAGAACTAAGTGCCTTTCTCAGTTGCACCTCCAAGCCAAGTCCACCACCTCTGCCTTCACCACATCCCAGGAAACTGTAAATAATCTGCTGTAAGCTTTCCTGTTTTTGTAACAAGCAAAAGAATCTGGTAAATATTTGTATATTCCCAAAGGGCTGGGTGCTTTCTTGCCTTGTCTGAGCATGTATGGAGTCTTGCTGGGTGCTGGTGACTGGCCAATTATGTGCAGCTGTCTCAGCCAAACCACTGATGTTTCAAGACTTCTGGCCTGTCTGCCTGAGGCCCTGCTGCCAGTCTTGGGCCCTGGAGAGCAGGTGCTGTCTTAATTATGTATGAGGACTGTTTTTTGGTTGTGTTAAATCTAGAGTTTCTATTTTTTCTTCTTAGTAGTTCCCTTATCTGCCAAGCCTGTTTCTGAAAGGCAAGGACCATTCTGCCCCATTTGCAATGTAGAGCCAGGCACTTGGGCCTGGTCCTTGTTCCTTCCACCCTCTGACATGGTCGTGAGAAGTGGAGCTCCCCGTCAGTTGTGGCCATGATGCGGTACAGGGCATTTCTCCTTCCACCATCCACAGATGTTCTCAATAAACTGTACATTCATTCCGGCCCGAAGAGTCCTACTGTGTTCCTTTCACTTTTTACAGTTCTCTCCAAACCAGGTGTATATGGATGAATCATGCAGGGGCTGGGCACTTAGTAAATTTCATGTAGGCTCCTGGCCATCCCTGAACTAGTGATGGAAAAGATGCTCTTTGCCCCTTGATATCATTAGGTGACATCAGGTACCCTGGTCATCAGGGGACTGCAGCCCAAGTACTGCTAACATGGACTGGATCCTCCTTCACTGCCAATGACTCCTCCATGTCACCCTCAAATTTCGTCCACTAGAACCTTGGGTGTTTCCAGAGAGTTCAGCAGGATGAGAACTGTAACATTCTGTGTGTCCTTACACCCTCTCATCCATTTAAGTGAGACAATCCCATGGTTTCTTTCCATCCTTACCTTTTCCATAACACCTGCGCAGGCCCCAACCTGAAGATGGAGGGTCTGTCTTCTTGGAAGGCAAAATTATCTTCTGAAAAAGCCTCCTCCATAGTTGGCTTTATGTCAAGAATAAAAGAGGAAGGATTGTGGCCAGCTGTGGGTTTGCAAATGAGGTCAAGAGAGTATAACCAGAAAATTCAGAGTTGGGTAATTCAGACTTGGGCCCTGCTGCCTTCAGCACTCAGCCGCTAGCTAGCTCAGGCTGACAAGAGTAGATGCCTTAGGAAAAACACCCAGTGCCCTCAAAGGTGCTTTTGCTCTTTCTGCCTGTCCTCACTCCCAACCTGATTGCAAATTTCAAAACTTTTGTTTTGAAATAGTGCATTTGGCGGCTAGAGTCAGGTAATGACACTGGTTGTTCTTTAGGATTTAGATTCAATTCCCAGACCCACAACCATCTGTAACTCCATCTCCAGAGGATCTAGTGAGTGCTCTTCTGGCCTCCAAGGGCTCTTGACATACATGCAGAAACATCCATGAACATAACCTAGAGCTGTAGGCCTCATCTTAATTCAGAAACCCCATACTGGCACTTGATGGCTTGGGTGGGGTAGGCCATGCAGCAAGCCTGGTGTGTGGCTGGCAGAATGTATTAAAGGCTCTTCAAGTTCTTTCACAGGGTCTGGACTCCCTAATCTCAAGCCCATCATATCCACTTCTCAACAGAAAGATTTTACTATGTCATGAAACTCACAGCTAAAATAATTCACAAACCTTAGTATAGTGTTTGTTGTAAAAACATGTACTTTAGGAACCTTTATATAGATTATGAATATGGTTACATACACAAATGTTACAAATGTTACAAATCCTAGTCCTGCCGGCCACATACATATCCATCACCCTCTACCTCTTAACATATACATCTGAACCCCACTGTACTAGGGGTGATTATACAGATCAGTATCTCTAGTCAGAAGTTTTATCATCTTCCAAAACATCTTAAAATGTTTTTCCACAAACCAATGTTCATCACTGATAAGGCTTCTGACAGCCTTTTCCCTGTTAAGTGACCCCTCTCAACTTATATTGGTTCAATATGCATTTGGCTACTAAAGCAGCAGCTTCAATACTAAGTATATATGCAAAATCTCCCTAAAAACTCAAGAGTTAACTTTGTTGGTTTAATGTTCCAGATTTAAAGATGTAGGCAGTCAGGTTCTTGGTTTTACTTACTCCAAGATACTCTTAACATAAAATTTCACTTCCAGTAGTTCAAGACCACAGCTCTGGTTCTGAAGTATTCCCAGTTGTGCTGATGTCCTGATGCCATTGCTCTAGCCCTCTAACAATTTAATAGGTAGGCATGCTCCCTAGGAACAGCACCTCAATGTCAAGAACGGATGGAGCACCTCTTCCCCCTAAGCTTTCCATGCTAATCTCTCCAGTACTCAGTAGCCCAGTCCTGAGCTACCTGTTCAGTATATGGTGAGCTTACAAAGCCAGGCAACTGTTAGCAATCTGAATGGCAAGGATTTTCTCAGAACTTTAGATTTTCAGGAAAACCCATCTCACTTTTGGTCCTCAGGATTTTTTGAGACCAGGTTTCTTCACTTTGGGCTTAAAGTAATGCAACTCATCAATTCTTTGAATATCAAGACCCATACATAGAGCACACACAGGGATGTAGGAATTTACAATTGTGGGCTACATTTATTGCCTCACATCTTCCTAGAATGTTAGGCAGATTCCCAACATGCAGACAAGAACGGATGCAAAGAACCTACTCAGACCACATGGAAAATGTTAGCATTTAATTAACCCCTGGAGTGGCTTTTAAGCCACCAGAACACAGGCACCTCCAACACCCTTAATCTTCTCTTCAGCTCTTCTGCTGAAGAATTTGGCCTTCACAATGACAGGTTGCTTAGGGAGCTTTCCCTTGCCCAGAACTTTGTAGTAGCCCTAGAACAGAGAGATTCATAATATACATCAGATGCTCAACACCCCAAGATTCAGGTAGGACCTAACTTATTCCCTCCCCCTTTTCACAGTCTACATGAGGCTGGTCTTTTACTCAAATGTAGAGTAATAAATATGGCCTCATAGAGATTCACCAACAGCATCTCCAGTTCTGGGAGTAGAGCATGTGTGGCATGATAGGCCATGTTTCTGATCTGGGCACTAAAAGGGACACTGAAAGCCCCTACCAGTGAATCAAGACCAGCAGATTCTCTCACTATTATAAACATTCAGACAACCCTTAAGATAATTTTGAATAGATTAACTTGGCATATGTCTCTAACCTGGTGACTGACTGTGCCAGAAAGTCCACAGCCAGTGAATAAGGTCAGCAGTTATTCTTCGAGGACTCTAGCACACCAGGACAAGTACCCTGTCAGGATGTGACTCTAGTCTCGGCTAAGCACATACCTCCCCACTCCTGACCAGCTACTCTGCTAAATATGCATTAAACACAGGTTAGGAATGGTTACCTCAAAGCTTCCCTATGGTTTGGGTCGCTGTACTTAGGCCGGTTTTTACACAATATAAGGGCCTTAATGAACAGACTTTAACCTGCAAAAGCAGAGCTGTGCCTTAAGACCATTCTGATCAACTGTACACCTCAACTTAGTTTTTAAAAAAGCAAACCTTTTATGAATTGGAAACAAGTATTTGCTGGATGTGGTTTTTGAATTCTTAACAAATAGGGACACCAAATGGAGGAGGAAGAGTTAATACTCATGACCAATTTTCAATTACCTGCAATAATTCTACTAAAATGTTAATTTTTAGACAGGAAATAGTCAAATATACATAGGCTTGATTTTCAAACCAGTCAGTGTACTAAAGGCCCCATTAAGAACAAGGCAATTCACTCACAGATCGCACAACATCAATGACGGGAGCTGCCCCAGTCTTGTTTTTGGCTGCGTTGACCCGCGTCTGCTCGCTAACCAACGTCCATAATTTATCCAGGTTGACAGTTGGGCAGAAGCTCTGGTTCCTCTTCAAGTGGTAATGCCTCATACCAACTTTCCCGAAGTAACCTGGATGACTGGGAAGGCAACCATCTTCAGAGCCTCATCTTTGTAGTCACCTTTTAGTGCAGTGTAAAGGTTCACTATTGTAAACATTCAGACAACCCTTAAGGTAACCCTGAATAGGTTAACCTGTCACTAACCTGGTGACTGACTGTGCCAGAAAGTCCACAGCCAGTGAATAAGGTCAGCAGTTATTCTTCGAGGACTCTAGCACACTAAGGCAACAAGCAATACCTGAGCGTGACTCTAGCCTCGGACAGGTTCCCCTCAGTTCACATACAGTGTTTACTGGCTAGAGCTAGCAATAAATAACCAAGGTTAAGAGACCCGTTTCCAAAGAGACCCTGTTCTAAGTCATCCCTTCTGTCCGCACCACCAAAACACTCACTATTTGTCAAAGTTGATCCTGTGGTGGTGCATGCCTCCAGCATTTCCGCGGCCTCCTGGGTGCTTGCGGTGCTTACCTGCAGGCACACAAAGCTACATGACTTCCAGCTGCTCAGATGCCCTGGTTTGGTCTGTATACAATCCGTTTTTAAGCATGACTTATCAAGACTCAGATAAAAGAAACCTTTCGACATTTCACAACACATCACTATGTGTTTAACTTCTACCCCACTACCAACATAAAGCAGCAACTCTGGTGTTCACAGACCGCAAAAACATTTTCTTCAACTTACGGCTATTTTCCAACACAGCTCAAAGGCCAAACTCCTAGGAGGCCCACACTTACCGATGCGGCCGTGGCCGTGGCTCACGTGGCCCCGGAGTTTCCGGGTCTTCCTCAGTCTGGATGGCTGTATGGGAAAAGCAACAAAGTGGTTAGGCCTACTTAAGGGAGTGGGATGTTGGGGAGAGGACAGCAACGCCTGCCTGCCCGGATTATCTTGCAAACGAGAACTTGCCTCCTGGAGCACTCAGCAAGGTTGAGGTTACAGACTGGGAGCGCGCTCAGACGCCCAGGCCCGCGCGCCTAAGCGATCCGAACTCCGGTCGGAACACGCGGCCCCAGGTTCCTCGCCCCAGACCCAAGTGGGCCATCCCGCCCCGCAGGCTACGCTCAGCCATGGAGGCCTACTAAGACCAGAGCAAGCAGCCGAAAGGCAGGGAGGTAGGGAGCCGAGCCGCCGCGAGGAAGCGGAGGCCACGAAAAGAACACCTACCATGGCGGTGGCAGAAAGGAAAGAGGGAGGAGCTCACGAAGTCTCGCGAGGTAGCCGGCGCGGGGGTGGGACCAACGCTCCATTTCCGGCCAGGAGGCCGGCCTCGGGAGGGGCCCTGACGTCACGGCTTCCGGCGCCCGCCTCTTCCTTTCCGTGTGGGTGGGCGGGGTGAGCCGGTGGGTCCCGCCCACGGGAAGTCCGGGTACCTCGGCTCCTGCCGGATGGGGGTTTTCGGAGTACGCTGTTCTGTTCAGGTGCTGTTGTTTTTTGTCTCCGGGCCGCAATGGCGGTGGCTCAGAGCATCATCAAAGCTTCCGCAGGGCCTCTGCCCTCCCATTAGGGGACGCTGCCTTTCGCTTTTGCTCTTGTACTATTTTCATGTCCTTGGCTTGAACAGCCTTCTGCGGTTAGGGATCGAGATTTTGTAACTTTTTGTATAAACACCCCATTTGAGTTTTCTCCAGAATCTGGCTGATACGCTTTAGTTCCCTGGACCCTAGGCTCCCAGCCTAATGTGCTTCTCATGCACGCATTTCCTGTGTGGACCTTCTTGGACCTCTTTTGTCAGTTGTTTACGAGAGCCACCGCAGTCTACCGTGTCACTGCTAATTGCCAAGTTACATTTTTCTTCCCGATTGAGCCCAGATTCTCGAAGGGTTCAAGGTCTAGCCAATTGTGTTTGTTGTTTTTCCCTTTAAATCCATGAGTTCCTGGTGTGTAGCCTGTTTACCGAGAGTGCAAAAGTGTCTCACTTGTGCATAAGATCCTATGCCCTAAATCTGTTTCTTTTTTCCTGACTATTCTAGTCAAAATACCCTAAATTCTCATCTCTATTAGGACCCGTTCCTTTGCTTCGGCCAAGAAAGCAGAGCGGGCAAATCCTGTCTGCTAGCTTCTTGTTTGGTGTTTAATCCATTACAGTCTGGGCAGGTTGGCTTTAGCCTCAAGATTTTTTATGTGCTTCTTTTGAGACAGGGTCTTACTCTGTAGCCAAGGCTGGCCTTCTTGTACTTCCTGACTGCTGGAATTGACTTGATAGGCATGATGGTCTATAACTTTCACATGTGGACTAGAATAGCATATCTATGGTTGTCCTTGTTCAGCTCCTGTTTAGGCAGTCATGTTGGTGACGCTATGAGTGTGGCTTCTGACACCCCTAGGAGACACAATTTCACAGTAAAGCCTCTGATTTCTGGCTCTTACAGTCAGTCTTTCTGTCCCTCTTCTGCAATGGTCCCTAAACCTTAGGTGTATGGGTTGTTTTATAGATTTATCCAGTGAGACTGGACTTCACAACTCTGCATTTTGATTGGTTGAGGCTTTCTGTATCCATGTCTTTCTGCCTTTTGTGAAAAGAAATTTCTTTGATGAGGGTTGAGGACTATAATTTTCTGTTATAAGGACAAATATTTAGAACTATCCATGCCTTCACTACCTAGTATTCCAGGACCACTCATGATTTCCCCAACCTTAAGCTTTTGATCCTGCAAGCCTCAACTTCCCGTGTTCTGAGATTTTAAGCATGTATCATCATGACCAACTCTTGCTGAACTCTTTAGAAACTACCTTAACATTCTACTACTTCCAATAGCACTCCCAGGCCACAATGGTAAGAGCCCCAACATCTTCAGAATGCCTTGAAATTTATAAAATCTAGCTTCATTTTATTCATGAGACAAAAGGCACAGAAGAACTGTGTGACTTGTCATAGGTTATAAAGTTGATAAGATACCGAGCCTGGACCTAGCCTTACCCGTCCCTCTCCAGATTCCCTGTTTTTATCTCCGTGACCACTTTCTTTTTGACCTCACAACACTATGCTCTCTATGTCTCCCTCATGTCACAGGCATTAATCATATACTGCCTATGACCAGCAGAAAGAGAGATTTGAAAGTCGGGATCAAGATTTAAGAATCTGCTGTTCTGTATGTTCAAGGAATGAGCCAAGTTAATTAGAAACTACCATTAGGAGGATGATCTGTCAGTGGGGGTAAGCTAGCTAGGAAGAGCCTTGGGAATGGAGGGTGAATTTTAGTGTGACCTGGAGCAAGTATCAAGTCAGAGCAAAGGGCAGAAATAGAATCCTGTTTCTAAATAGTTTGCCAAGTGCTTGGTTATAGAGGAGCTGCTTCCTCTCTCGGGACGCCTGGCTGAACCTCACCCAGTGGTCTTAGTGACGGTTTGATCTCTAGAGTAGAGGGAGTATTTGGGGAATTTGTCCAGCTGTGGTTTTTCTAGACAGCTCACTTTCTTCCTCCCTAGGCAGTCAATCTGTTGGCTCCTGGCTCCTGTGCTTGTTCAGCAAAGTCAGCTTCTTCAGGTTTACTAGCTATGACAAAACAGAGAAGGCTCACTTCCTTATCTGCAAAGTTGAATAGTAGCCAGATGCTAAGACATTAGGTCACCTCTCCCTCCCCACTGGACACGACCTTGAATATGACCCATGAGAATTGTCGTTTTTCTTTTTTTAAAGATTTATTTTTTATATATGAATACACACTGTAGCTGTCTTCAGACACACCAGAAGAGGGCATCAGATCTCATTACAGATGGTTGTGAGCCACCATGTGGTTGCTGGGATTTGAACTCAGGACCTCTGGAAGTGCAGTCAGTGCTCTTAACCACTGAGCCATCTCTCCAGCCCAAGAGAATTGTCGTTTTTGACACTTCTATGAAGTACATCACAGCCTTGTGACATTGCAGGCATTTGAGCTACTTTGGAGGTTTGGGGTTCAGAAAACATTTGTGGAATGAAGAGAAGAGAGATGATGCCAGGCAGCAGCCACTTGGTGAGGCAGGTAAATCTCTCCCCAGGGTCTTGGCAATACACTATCATCTGAAAGAGTATCCTGGTGGCCTCTCCTCTCTTCTCTTCTCTCAGAGTTTCTGGTTTTCTTAGTACTTCAGACAACAGCTATTCTTGGAAATATGAACAGTCCTGTCTTCTTCCTTTTTTAGAAGGATATATTTTTATTTATGTGTGTGTGTGTGTGTTTGTGTGAGTGTATAATGTGTGTGCAGGTACCTGCTAAGAGGTCACATGAAGATGTTGGATCTCCTGGATCCGACTGGAGTTACATGTGTGTGAGCCACTCAGTGAGGCTACTGGCAACTGAACTTGGGTCCTCTAGATGAAGGACAGCTAGTTCTCCTAAGCACCGAGTGAGGCGTCCCTCCAGCCCCATGCCTGTCTTCTTGGTCTTCATCTTTAATTGGATCTTTGGAAGGAATGTGTCGCTCTCCTTTGAAAAGGGCACTACTGACCTGGAGCTTACCACAGGCCTTTAGTCCAAGTACTGGGGAGGCAAGACCAGGTGGATCTTTATGCATTTGGGGCCAGCCAAGGCTACACAGTGGGAAGTACAAAAACCTTGGAAGCCCGTATTTAGTCTATAAGGTGTTTTAAAATGTATATATGTTTTATACATGTCTACACATGTAATGAGAAAAATGCAGCGTGAAAAGAAGTTCTGAAAGAAAGCATAAACATCTCAAATCATAGTCCCACTGAGCTTCATGTCAATTTTCAGGTCATCTTTAGATGGTAAGGGACCTATCTGCAGAGTCGATGACTGTGTGTGTGTTTGTGTTTGTGTGTGTGTGTGTGTGTGTGTGTATGGGGAATATGCATGGATATAGGGCTGTATACACACATGGAGGTCAGAGGAATAGTTTGCTTCTAGGTGTCACCTTTTGCTCTCTGCTTTATTCCCTTGAGACATGGTTTTTCACTGGACCCGAATGAAGGTTGAAGTTTTGACTAGGCTTGGCTGCCTTGACTGGCTGTGGAATGCCTGGGATTCCCCCATGTTCATCCCCCAACCCAGGGATTAGAGTCACACACAGCTGTTTGTGGCTTTTATTAATATGTAGGTGCTAGGGGTCACACTTCAGTCCCCAGGCCTTCAGAGCAAGGACTCTAACCACTGAGCCATCTCCTGGATCCCTATGTCAACCCTTCTAGAGTCCTATTTTATTCAATTCTGTGACATTTTCTGTATCATTGCCCAGTAATAAGGATCTGTTCATTTTATTTCTTGTGGTGCTAGGAATCGAACCTGGCATGTTGAACATTCTAGGTAAGCACTGTTACTGAGCTGTGACCTCAGCTTCAGGTTTATTTTTCACAGCTGATGAGTAATTTGCCTTCAGCCTGTGCTATAACATACTAAGCCATCTTGTGTGTTTTGTTTTTGTGTTTTGGTTCTTTGTTGTTAGAAACAAAGCTGCAGTGAACATTTTGTATAATTGACTTTTTTCTATTGACCAATAACTTGTCTAGAATAAAATCCCAGGAGAGAGATTACTAGATTATACGGCATGAAAATCTTTATGATTCATCTTATGATGCTATTTTTTTCAGATGGGTTGAAACAATTTGTCCACCAGCAGTATGTACAATTTCTAATTCCATTTCAAATTCCCAATGCTTGGAGCTTTGGTCGGCTCTTTCATTAGTTTTTGATTATAGCTTTCAGGGGGCAGGCAAATCCATAGGCTAATTGGTGGTCTTCCTTCCTTCATCTTCTTCCTCCTCTTCCTCTGCCTTCTTTTCTTTCTTCTTTCTTTCTTTCTTTCTTTCTTTCTTTCTTTCTTTCTTTCTTTCTTCCTTTCTTTTTGAGACAGGGTTTCTCTGTGTAGCCCTTGGTGTCCTGGAATTCACTCTGTAGACCAGGCTGGCCTAGAACTCAAAGATCTACCTACCTCTGCCTCTCAAGTGCTGGGACTAAAGGTGTGCGCCACTACGCCTGGCAGGTGGAATTTTTAAAGCACAAAGCAAAAGACAAACAGGATTTGAGGATTGTGATTTCTAGTCATGTTTCTTTCCCATGTTGGACTGTATTTGTTTTAAATTCTAACGTACTGCCTGACATTTACTGTAACTATACTGACTTTATGTTCCTACACGGTTTCTGACACATCTGTGGAACACTGAGATGGAAAGTGCTGCCATTCAAGTCCAATATAGTGAACCACAAAGAGAAGAGCACTCATGTCTTAGAGACCAGCTTATCAAACAGTACAAACAAGACAGGTTTAAATAGCCAC